CGATGACGCGTTAACAGCCTCGGACACCCAACAGGACAACACATCGAAACACCTACCTGACACCTTTTCCATACAACGGATAAATTGGCTCCACAATTCGGCCATCAATTATAATCGTAGCTGTAGAAACAACACACGATGCCGATCGTAGGTACTACAACCTGTGTGACTTTCTGTGAAATCGTTACAAAGTTGGGAAGAATGCCCTGAAGACCTGGAAACACCCTGTGTCCATATGAGAAGAAGACATAGCTTAACAAATTCCTGAACTGTAACATTTTCCTTTTAGTCGGCGAATAATTGCCAGAAGTGAAGAGAAATCAAAGAAATCTGACCAAAGTTCAATGGGAAACCGTTATAAAGTTGGGAAAAATGTCCTGCAGACCGGGAAACACCCTCTGTCCATATGAGAAAAAGAACAAACGTGAAAAAACTTTGGAATATAACAAGGGAACGCTATCGGATTTAATTTTCGTACGTCCAGTAATGTCAGATAATTAAAGTCCTTTAAAATTCAAATTAACGTTAACTCGCAGAAGTAATGAATAAATTTAAGCGAATTAGTGTCACTCCGAATGTTTTAATTATTGACAATAAAGGAATTCCTAAAGATTAATCTTAATTTCAGAAAATCTGGAAGAATATCAACGAATTAAAAAAATCCTTTTGAATAATTTAAACTTTTAATTACTTGAACAACCCTGAGGTAAAGTTACCATTATTATTACCATTTTACCGAGTGCGACCCTGTATATTTAACATGTACAACCAGAAGGTGCATACAAAACTAGATGCATAATCAACTCTAGATATGTATACATATTTACATATACATTGTAGTTAATCGGTTACGGTTGTCATTGTATGTGTATTTTATATGTTGAGTAGGCCCTTGGAGACCAGTGTGGCGCGAGCCACAAATTCTTCATTTCAAAGAGAGAGTTAGTTAGCTGCACGTATTATAATCTAGTGTGCCGCGGTTCCGCCATCAGGCAGGCGCCAGTTCCCGTATAACACACACATGTGCCCGTCGAAGACGACAAAAAATTTAAAACAATAGACACGTTATTGCGTAATAAACAAGCAGTGAAAAGGTACTTTGTAGGTAAGGGTTCGCTTTTTTTGTAACAGAGGTCAAATAGTTTCTGGGATAGGCCAATACCATACGATTCGAATTATTTGTGATCTAACGTATCTTATCGTGGAACTCTATTTGAGGTTCGGTAGACAACATGAACCTTCAGAACAAAAAATTTTGTTATTTTTCAATTGCAATAAAACCTATTGATTATGTAGGCTGTAGAGTGTTCTCTATCAGTTCAATGAAATGTGTGAATTCTGCTTGAATCATTACGAAATTCTGGGACAACTTTTCCTTTGTAGTTTCTGGTTACGAAGTATAACTACTGAGTTACTGAAAAAGCCAATCAGAGCGCACCTTCTTTGCTGCGAGCGAAAGTAGCAGAGGTTTATATGGTTCATTAGAGCGCGACTCTGCTGCAAGCGGAAGTAGCAGAGGTTTATATGGTTCATTAGAGCGCACCTTCTTTCCTATAAGCCGTAATAGCAGAGGTTTATGTGGTTCATTATAGCCCACTTTCTTTGCTGCAAACGGATGAAGCGCAGGTTTATGTGGTTCATTACAGCGCACCTACTTTGCTGTAAGCGGAACTAGCAGAGGATTATATGGTTCATCAGAGCGACCCTTCTTTATTGCAAACGAAATTAGCAGAGGTTTATATGGTTCATTAGAGCGCGACTATTTGCTGCAAGCGGAAGTAGCAGAGATTTATATGGTTCATTACAGCGCGATTCTTTGCTGCAAGCGAAAGTAGCAGAGGTTTATATGATTTATTAGAGCGCACCTTCTTTCCTGCAAGCCGCAATAGCAGAGGTTTATGTGGTTCAGTATAGCGCATCTTCTTTGCTGCAAACGGATGACGTGCAGCCTTATGTGGTTAATTACAGCGCACCTACTTTGCTGTAAGCGAAAGTAGCAGAGGTTTATATGATTTATTAGAGCGCACCTTCTTTCCTGCAAGCCGCAATAGCAGAGGTTTATGTGGTTCAGTATAGCGCATCTTCTTTGCTGCAAACGGATGAAGCGCAGGTTTATGTGGTTAATTACAGCGCACCTACTTTGCTGTAAGCGGAAGTAGCAGAGGTTTATATGGTTCATCAGAGCGCACCTTCTTTACTGCAAGCGAAAGTAGCAGAGGTTTATATGGTTCATTAAAGCGGGACTCCTAGCTGCAAGCGGAAGTACCAGAGGTTTATATGGTTCATTAGAGCACAACTATTTGCTGCAAGCGGAAGTAGCAGAGGTTTATATGGTTCATTAGAGGGCATCTTTGCTGCAAATGGATGTAGCACAGGCTTATATGGTTAACCAGAGCGCATCATTTTTGCTAGAAGCGGAAGTAACTGTGGTTTACACGGTTTAATTGTTATAATTGCAGCAAATAAAACGCTTCATGATTGGTCTCTTTTTAATTGTTAATAACTTGATAACTAACTGTTATATTGAAAAAGCGTAAAGGAAAAAGCTTCTTAGAATTTCTTAAGGAATCGAATGATATATTTTTAAAAGTGAATATGTTTAGGTAACAAATGAAGACTTGTCATTTTGTTGATCTTTGTTTCGATTTAAAACCATCCAAGAGGAAAAAGTTATGGAACAATTCTGTTACTCTAATTCCGCTTTGCTCATGTAAGTTTTATAGTTCTGAGGTTTAAACGTAGCTATAAAACTGAACTGTGTCATAAGCAAGAACAATATACATACGGTAAGAATAGTTAGGAAAAATATTCTGTTCCAGTTTATGGAAAGATATGTACGTTTTTATTTCCAAATTATTGGATAATCATCCGCGTGTGTTCACATACAATGTGTTTACAAATGTGTCCCCGTTCGTCCAAATCAAACTGCGAGCAAACAAAAGTGAGAGTCAATATTTCGAGTTTTTCGTGATCTTTTCGAACAAGTACATGAACAGAAGAAAATCGCAAGGAGAATCCTCCGGAAAACTATCATACCGGACTTCCTGTCAACGACAGATCATACCCCCGATTAAAAAACATTTCTGCGGTTGCATATTTCGAAATAACCGATCACGAAATTTGAAATATGTGCTAAAATAATGATTTCCTCGAAAGGTTATTTCAATAAAAGAACAATCGATGAACGTTTTAAAAATTCCCCGTTCTATTTCTACATTTTCACCCTGACCTTAATAGCATTTTCCACCAAACAGCCCTTTGACTGTTTGATGCAAGCAATATTTACTTCCTTTCAGAGATCGAAAAAATTGAGTATCATGATCACAAAAGACAGGGTGAAACAGAACGAAAACGATGAGATATGATAAAGCAATTAGTAAGTGCAACAAAAAAAAGACAATGTAAGACAAGACGGTGTGATACAAAAGATATGACGGTTAAATAAGATTAAATAAGCAAAACTTGTAGTAATAAGGGAAATCAAAACAGACGTATAACGTAAGAAAGAAGAGAAGAGTTGAGGCAGTATTAAGGGGTAGTTTTATATAGACGAGTGTTTAGAAAGTAAAGAAGAATTAAAAAGTATTGGGGAGTGGTTTTGGGGAGACTAATCTGTACAACGCAGAGAATAACAGAAGAAGAAGTATGTAGTTTTAAGATTAATCTTTATAAGCAAAGGAAACTGAAGCATTTTTAAGGGATACTTTAAAGGAGGGTGCTTTTATCTTTACAAAACAAGGAAGCAGCATTCAGAAGAATTTTTATAGAGACAGGTTTTTATAAAGAAGGAAAGAAGTAAAGAAGTATTGGGGGGTAGTTTTAAGAATATGAATCTAACAAGCAAATAAGAATTGAAGCACTATTGAGGGGTACTTTTGAGGACTGAGCTTTTACCTTTACAAAGAGAGAATGCAGTATTAAGAAGTATTTTCATAGAGACAGGTTTTCACAAAGAAAGAAATAATTATAGAAGTAATGAGGAGTAGTTTTGTGGAGACTAGTCATTATAAACCAGAGAAGATTTGAAGTAATACTGAGAATTGTTGTTCGCGAAATGCCTCTTTAAATAACAGGGGAGTACTATCGAGGGATATTTTAATGGCCACTAGTCCGTACATAGTAAAGAACCAAAGCAGTATTGAGGGTTAATTTTAAGAAGATAAGTCTGCATAAAATAAGGGAAGAATTGGGGCTGTACTGAAGTGTATTTCTATGGGAAACAGTCATTAGAAAGCAAAGAAGAATTGGAGCAATATTCAGGGATTACTGATGCTGTCCTATAAAGAATCCCGCCACTCGTATTAGTGAAACGCTGGGCTAGGTTAGGTTAAATTTGGGTTAGGGTAGGTTAGATTAGGTCGCCACGCGTGCTAGTGAAACGTTAGGAAACAATTTCAACCAACGACAGTCAGCATCAGTCAACTTATTGGCCGCGAAAGCCTTTATCAATTTGTCATCAAGGATAATTTGAAGGATATAAATGTTTAGAAAGCGAGAACGAATCATAACAGTCTCTAAGAGTCTATTTATGGGAACTATACTCTTTATAAAGTAGTGAAGTGAGTTATTATTGATAGGGCTGGCCTTTATAAGGTATAGAAAAGTTCAGGCAACGTTTAAGAGTATTTTTAAGAAGATTTTATTAAGAAGTAATGATTTAGAGTGGCATTTACAACGATAGAAGAGTATTGAGAGTTATTTACAATAAGACAAGTCTTTACAAAGCATTGAGGAGTTGAGGCAGTATTTTAAGGAAAATGGATGAAAATTTTTGGCAAATTTTGTTAGAAAACAATTGCAATTGGGGATCATCGGTATTATTGGTATGTGGATCAGCAGTTGTCCAATTTTTTTTCAGATGATAAGTAGAGGCGTCCGTGTGTGTATACTAGGTTGATGGTACCGTTGTCTTAGACGTGGTTTACTGCAATAGCCGCGACCATACCACGACGAATCGCGGTTGGGAGCGCGACACGCCGCGCTGTATAGAGAAATAGTTTTGTTAGCAGCAGTCAGTCGCGTTCAAACAGGCACGCGTGATACGGGGGTACCTTCTACCAACACGACAAACCAGACAGAGCAGCGCAGAAGTTGTTCGGTTCGTGGTAAAGAGAGGAGCTTTTGCAAGACGGACGACGACGACGACGAGCGCCGCGGCGCATAACAACCTACCACCACGTACTACCACTACTACACATATAGCAATTCCGGTCATATTGTTTCTTCTCAGTAGCAAAGTTGTCGGTCCGGAAAAACAACAACAGCGACGACGAAAAATTGAGTTGATGATGCCGGTGGAAAAGTTGGACGCGTTTTTCCAAGTCGACGGCTCGCCGACGCCGGGGCCGCCGCGACGTTTAACAGCCGTGCGTGTGCTCTACGTGCGGAGCGACGAATAAGTTTGAACATGACGGCAACCGACGCCGCCGACGATACCGCACCACGGAAATGTATATTACTATTGCTATTACTGTTGCTACCGTTGTTGTTATTATGCCACTGTGTCGCGCAGAATTAGGCACATAGTAAGTACATAATTAATTAATTAATTAATCAATAGCAGTAAATTAGCCGTTGGAGAAAGAAGGGTGCGTTCTAATTAAGAAGAGTTTAAGAGTGCGTGCGGAATTAAGCAACTTAATGCACCAATTGTAGAAGACTTTTTTGTTTTTTCTTTCGTAGCGCGTCAAAATGCAATTTCGCGTTACGAGTGTTATCACGATTAGTATTACCGTTAACAGACAATTTTTTACGCGTAACAATAACATCTTGACTACTGAGTGATAGACATCTGTGATTAGTACATTAAATTAATAAATTAAGGTCATTAATTAAAATCACTGCCCAAACAAGTATTCAAGCCAAGGACGACGTCGACGCCGTTCTGCTTCATCCCCTTCTTACGTATTACGTATATCCGTACAGATATAAATCTGGCGTCTAGATCCAGGGCGGGTTGCAGTTCCAGAAACGTTGCCAAAAATCCTTAAAATGGCCCTTCGTCCTTTCACTTCCGTCCTTCTCTATCTGCTCGTCTTGTTCGCGATCGTCGTGGTCGGCTGCGACAGGATACGACACCATCACCACACCGTCCCGACGCCCGATCACGACGACGACGACGTCTACGTGTCCCAGCTAGAGAGCAGCGCGCTTGACGAAACGTCCGAAACGTCGGCTTCGGTTATCAATTGTCCGAACTGTTTCTACAAAACCGGACGAAATCTTAAGGCCGAAAGTGATAATCTACGACTGGAGGCGATCAAGAGGCAAATTTTGTCGAAATTGGGGCTGCAACACAAGCCCAATGTCACGTACAGTCTTCCCAGGGACGTTATTCTGGAAACCATTTCCAGGGCCGAGGACAGTTGGAAGTTTCAGGAGGAAGATGAGGAAATACTCAGCACGAGTGCGAAAACCACTAACAATATCGAAACGCTAGACGTGGACGATTTTTATGGGAGGACCTCCGAAATTATCTCCTTTGGAGACGGTAAGTGACGATATGATTATGATGAACCAAACGAATGTGGAAACATGTCTTCAAAAGTATATCGTACAATGATATGGTAAATTTTACACCACAACTTGTATTTCTATCAGTTTTGCATAGGTAGATATTTACATAAATCGTTGCGCAAAATAAAACAAAATGTTCTAATAGGTCATCATGCAAGTCTGAGTTATCTGACCAGATTGTTCTCAACAATGTACGTGTTAAGACACGATTCAGCCACAAACCTTTCTTTGGTACACGGGTGGTAATTCTTTTAAAATTTGAAAATCCACAGCGAATTTAAAATTCACCCTGCCCGATGTATACAAATCGTTAACAACGTTTTTTAGGGTTCTCTACGTCCGAATGAAAGACGGAACCTTTCTAGGATCACTCGTGTGTCTGTCTGTCCGCTTGTCAAGAGCCGATCAAGTTGAAATTTATTAGTGCATATATGAATTTCTGTGACCCGAACACGGATGCATAACGTAAATAAATTAATTTCGAACACGGGGGTCATTTTTGGGTGGGGACCAATAGAAAATTAAAAAAAAAAAAGTTTTGCAAACTGTACCGTGTGACGTATCAAATGAAAGAGCCTGTTGTAGGGGTCTAAGATATAAGTAGAATTTGCCTTTTTGGTAATTTATCACAATAATAAATCATTCAAAGTGGGAAATTCCTCAAACTTTATTACAGAGGGAAAAGTGCATTGTCGTTCAAAATAAGAACAGAATAACGTATTGATCCTTACCCGTTTCGCTCTTCAATTTATGTCACAATCAATAGCAAAGCTTGTGCCTAATTAACAATAAAATACGATAAAGACAATGAGAGTAGCTGTCACTTTGTCAAACTTCTACAGAGGGAATCGTGCAATGTCGTTCAAAATAAGAATACGACAACATATCGAGTCTTAAGCTACGTGATACATGATTGTAAGTGAGTACATACATGGAAGATTTCTACTTAGAGATTATTAAAAGGAATTGATATATGAACGAATCATAGACACGATAAAGTCGACGATAATGTATAGTTTCGCAACAAAACGGAATTACTTATTTATCAAAATAAATTTATTCATAGGACATAGGACAATATAGGCATATGTGTATATATATTGTAATGCATCGCCATATCTGCTAGTGCTAGTGCAACTTTGGATCATGTCCAATTGAGGGACCGCCTCCCCTTTCTAAGCGATAAGTAAAATCTTATGAATGCAGTCACTTCCCTTTGAATGATGGTCGTTCCGGATTCTTCTCGAGACTGGATATATACGTATTCCAGGGCATTTCTTTTGTTTTTCGAATTGCAATCGTTGCTTTTTCTAGGTAATGATTTTTTATGCATGCCAAAAACGCATAATAAACATTATAATTAAAACCGCTAATGTATTTGTTTAAAAGATAAGATAAGGGAAATATTAACACCATTCAATTCTACATGTCAATCTAAGACTATTTTCCTTCTGAAGTTTTTGAATTCAATTGTATACAACCGATTTATTATCAATCGGAATATTGTCCGATAATTAACAATTACTTACATTTGTTTATTACCTCCAACCTTAATTTTTTAAAAGATATCTTTTTTAAAAGTTCTTAAACAATCGAGCAGTTTAGTTTTTGTAAAGGTTGGACGTGTATTCCTGTTGGAGACAAGGCAAATTATTAACCTTAGGGTGGGTTATGTCAAAAGTACTAAGTCGTTTAAGTTTATCTTAATTATTTGGGACCAAAGATCGTTTAAAGGTTTTTTTTTTTTAAATTTCTTAAACAATCGAAAAGTTCAGTTTTCCTTAAGGTTGGACGCGTATTACTGCGGGAGTCAAGACAAAATATTGACCTTAGGGTAGGTTATCATCTCAGTAGTATTAAGTCGTCTAAACTTATCTTAATTATTTCGGACCAAAAATCCTTTAAAGAAGGATATCCTTGTTAAAATTTCTTAAATAATATAATAGTTCAGTTTTCATAAAGATTTGGCGCGTATTCCTGTTGGAGATAAGGCAAATTATTGACCTTAGGGTAGGTTATCTCAGAAGCACTAAGTCGTCTAAGAAAATACCACAAATGGCGCGGTAAACGCCATCTGTAGTACGATGCTACATTTTAGGATTGCGTATGCTCCAACAAGGTCCATTTAAATATATGGATATCTACTTGCTGAAACGAATCCCGGCGTAGCTAACCTCAACGTGATAGAATAGTTCAGTTTTCCTAAAGATTTGGCGCGTATTCCTGTTGGAGATAAGGCAAATTGTTAACCTTAGGGTAGGTCATATTTAAATCCACTATATCTAGCATATGAGAACAATAATAATAATAATATATCCCAAAAGATGTGTGAGGTTTTTTGGCATTAGCCCGTCTTTACTTTCGCAAAGTTAACCAGTGAAAACTGAGAAGACCAAGAAAATAATATCAAGTTATATGAATAATTGATGGAGATAAAAAATCGGACAATAAATGGATACATGTGTTTGTGAAAGAGAGGGATGAGAGCGTCCAGAATTTTTATACGACCGGCTGCCCCCAGTCTTACGTCATCCATCCCTTTATTCATCCTTACGACCGGAATTTATTTCCTCGGTAAAACACCTTGTAGAGGTTGTCATAAAAAAAGGCATGTCAATTTTTCATCAGTTACTTCGTGGGTGGTGAACGGCGAATAAAAATAAACTTTATCGGCCATTCCGTCATACAGACTTAACACAAGGTTCCTGAACTCCTATTAATCCTTGCGAAGAGACGAAAAAAAAGGACGAAAAAAAAGGCGAATACGAAAACCTTTTTACGAAAAAAAAAAGGACTAGGAAGTAACTTGTGGGCGAAATAATAGACACACATCCTTCAGGACGCCCATAAAACATTCGTCAATATACCTACCAGTAACTCAAAAATTATTATCGTGCTGTGTTTTGATAACAATATGCCTATTGAAAAAAATTCAGATTGCAAAAACGTTTTGTTTGGCGCATCCCCGTATACATAAACAAATGAATCCTGTCGCTCGATCGTCATGGCGTTCGTTACAAATTTAATGGGTGCATCGTCTATTCAATACAATTGCGCCTACAGATACATTCGCACATCTCTACATGCAAAGGTTTCGTTCGGATTTTGTGTTTTAAATTTTTAATAAAACGCAGACGTAACGGCTGTAGTTCAAATTCGATTATTATCGACCGATCAGCTGAAAACTAGCTCTAAAGGGTAAAGTACACGATGAATTTAAATGCACTTTCAATCCAGCCTGCTGCTGATGGTTGAAGGGCTTTATTATAAAATTATTATCGGATATTCGCACAAAAAACTAATCAAAAAACGCAAAAAGCAGAAATTCTAAAATGCATGATTCAGGATATTCCAAAAAGTATAATCCTTTATAATTTCCTTGATCCAACAACACATTATGTTATAAGTAATTAACAATTTGAGTACGCTTCTGTTGTAAACAGTATTTCGTTAACAATAATGTGCTTCTGTTGTTAACAATTGAAGCATGTCACTGTTTCTGCACCAACTGTTATAACAATGACATGCTTGAAATATCAGCTGTATTTCGTTAACAACAGGTTGCAACAATGACATGCTTCAATTATTGTCAACTGTAATTCCTTAACAGTTGCTAGTAACAATGACATGCTTCAGTTGTTAACAGTTGATGGTACAGCAAATTAACAATTGAAGCATGCCACACTTACTGTACCATTAACTGTTAACTATTAAAGCTTGTCATTGCTGCGAAAACTGTTAACAACTGCCTACAACAATAACTTGCTTCTGTTGTTAACAATTGAAGCATGTCATTGTTGCTGCACCAATCGTTATAACAATAACATGTTTGAAATATCAACTCCATTTCCTTTACAATGGGTTACAACAATGACATGCTTCAATTATTGTCAGCTGTAATTTCTTAACAGGTGCTTGCAACCGTGACATGTTTCAGTTGTTAACAGTAGATGGTACAGCAAATTAACAATTGAAGCATGTCACTGTTTCTGCACCAACTGTTATAACAATGACATGCTTTAATTACTGTCAACTGTAATTCTTTAACAGTTGCTAGTAACAATGACATGCTTCAGTTGTTAACAGTTGATCGTCCAGCAAGCTAACAATTGAAGCACATTACACTTACTATGCCGTGTTGTACTAACTGTTGACGATTGAAGCATGTCATTGTTGCGAGCAACTGTTAAGGAGTTGCAGCTGACAATAACTGAAGCACGTCATTGTTGAAACCTATTGTTAATGAAATGCAACTGATATTTCAAACATGTCATTGGTGTAACCTACTCTTAAAAACTGCTGTTAAATATTGAATCAGAAAACATCAGGCTGAAAAACTGTGACGGAAAATGTTCTGGTTATTACAGCGGCATCAAGTTTTAACGCCACTACCAATTTATGTCGCAAATACTATTCCTTATAAAGAAAAGTCGATAATATAATTTATGATATAGAGCAACGGTCCGGTCGTGAAAACTTTTATCTTGCCAGTTTCATATTATTCATCAATCCTGTCGTTTTTACATTCTATTTAATTAATTACCGAAAGGTAATAACACTTTCGATTGTATCGGGTACAAACGCGGGATTAAAGAACGTTCCTTTTCTTCACGTACTGATGACCTCCATGGTCGAAACGTTTCCTATTTTGTTTATCAATTATCGCGGGTTCCGATCTCCACCAGCTGTCATCTACTACCTCGTAGCCTACAATGTCCAATTTATAAATTATTTATCACGGGAACGAGTCCGCGAGCGAATGCCGTTTTTTATCTTGACACATGTAATTGAGCGTCCGAACCGGTGGTTACCATTTTCTCATCTATTCTAACTCCTTGGTTACACACATCGTTACCATTTTCGTTACACCATAACTGACATCTCAATTTTATTACGCGTATCATTATTTATTATCTTTCTTATTAGCGGCTACGTTTTTATTTTGTCGAATTATGTAAGAAATCGTTTGAAAAA